GAGGTCTAACTATTACCTGTTTATATATTTCTCTCTACTTTCGGGAAACCCTTTATATTATTATCTTTGAATGTAAATGACAATTTAAATAAAAGTAATATTTAGGTATCAATAAAACCGTTACGTACCTAGGCCTTAGCCTAGCTCCCTTGTCGACTTTTCTTAATCGATTTTAGTTTACACATTGTATTGATTGATTCATTTATCTTATTTATTATTGATTTTAATTTTGTTTTGCCTCAAATTATTTGGGGGAGGGCGATACAATATTCTCACCACCTCAACATTTTTATTGGGATGGCGATCCGTGCAAAACAAAACTTCAATATGTTATTCAACAGAAAATCGAGTTAAAAGCTTTTTGACGCAAAATCCCGTCTCTAGTAGTAATCGTTAGAAAATGTTTTCTTTGGACTTTTTTTTTTACGGTTTTTGCAGATTCGCTGGGAACTCAGAGGCCAAGAGGCCTCCGGATGAATTTATAATATTCAGATAGATTTTTTTTTTCTTCTTCTTCTCTTGCCTCTCGACAATACAGATTTTTGTTAGTAGTTGATACTCCTACCACTTATCTTCTGGTTCTTCGGTCTTCGTTAGCGGAGGTTGAAGTGATAATCTCCCACTAATTCCTTCCATCCGTACACGAATCATTCGTAGTACGGGTAGTTATGCTTACTTACTAGCTGAAGGAAATCGTCCTCCGTGATGATATAGAGTCCGCTTTCCCTCAGTAGTTTGGCCTTTCAGCAGATTCCGGAACACCGCAACAAAGACATAAGGGATATGAAGTTAATTTCTTTTCCAAAGCCATGAAGCTTGGCGCAAAAATCTCTATTCCCTGTCAGGAATTGCGACACCCAATAATCAGGGAGGACCTATTTCGCTTCCAACCTTGAATAGACGGTAAGAAAGTATTTTCTCAAAGCAGAGCTTTTATGAGTAGTTACACACCGTCGATTCCACTGCTCAATGCTGTCCTCCCGTATTATTCTTTGCCAATTCAAATAGATGAACCATATTTCTAAATATTCGGTTCTTCCGCATCTTCGTTTTTTCTCATGGTTTTAATTGCTTAACTGTTTCTAAGCAAGGGACTCTTGGAGCTATGAGGATTTGATGTTGACAATCTATGGACCATATTTACAAGGTTGAAATTTATTTTAATTTAACTTTCTCTAACAATTATCCTAATTCACCGTAGCTCTAAAATTGATTGCAACGTTGTTGCAACGCTCATAGATGCAACATGTCTGGAGTTAGTCCTCCTTATTTTTTTTTAATTTTTATTTTTTACGGTTTAAACAACAGAAATATTTCTGAAAATCATAGAGAACTCATATACATAACACTCACATACATAACCATTGACCTTACTATGATTTTATAAAGCATTTCGAAGTCAATTTCAACCTTTTCCAAATCAAATTCAACCTTTTCCATGTTAAATTAAACCTTTTTCATTTCAAATGTAACCTTTTTCAAGTCAAATTGGATCTTTTCCATTTAAAATTTAACTTTCGAATTTATGTCAATTTTCGATTTTTTTTTAAATGAAGGCGACTTATTATATTATCGAAGGCATAGCTTTTGAAAAATACAAAAAAAAAAAAAAAAAAAATGTGATAACGCGGTTGCATATCCATTTTTTTTAACATTTTAGATTTTTTCAGTAAAATATTTCCATGTCATAATCAATTTTTTCTAAGTCGAATTAAACCTTTTCCAAGTCAAATTCTACCTTTTCCATATCAAATTAAACTTTTTTCAAGTCAAATTCAACCATTTCCATTTTAAATTAAACCTTTTCCATTTCAAATTCAACCTTCTTTTATTTATTCATTTTGGCGATTAAATTTCTCTTCAATTGTAAAAATTTTCTCATTGCTAAATAAAATCTTTCGATGAAGACTATTGATGTAACGGCCAAGGAGCACTTTGCATCTATCCGCTCTAGTTTTTTTATGGAAGTGGTTAGCCTTTGTCCTGTCATTCTTCGAAATGCACCCATCCTAAGGTCACTTTTTATTATGCGAGACATTGATCTGACAGAGATTCCTATTTCCCGAAACATGATGTATTATTTTCGAATGGGATTTCTTGTGATTCGAGCAGCCGCTGTTCTCACTACATTTTCCGTTTTCACAGTGCGAGGACGGCCCATATAAATCCGGACTCGCATATATTTGCATAGTGTTCTCTGTTAATTAGGAGATAATTGTTTAATTATTATTATTCAACTTATTCATATTAATTTTAATTATAGAAAGTAAGGCTGTATTTTTTTGACCACATTTATTTTCAGTTTCCATTTAGTTATCAATCCTCCTTCTCTTCAGTCCATAATTGGATTATAATCTGAAAATAAGAGTAGTGAAAAAATACAGCCTTACTTTATGTAGTTAAAGTTCATTTCATTTTAAAGTTCTGTAATATAAGCATACATTAATTTTAATTGTTAAATGGAATTTAATGAAAATGACACTAGACAATTTTTACAAAATTCTTCAAATCACTCCAACTTTTTGTCAAATCGAACTCTTTTCAAACTATAGGCGTGTGATAAACAAAGCGTTTGTAGAATCGAAAGTGGATTTATTTTTTTAATGTAATGGATGGCGTTTGATGACATTATTACTTATTTGATCATTTGTTTATCAATTTCTAGCCCTCTCCCCCAAATTTTGTGCAAATCAAACTTGCGATTTTCGAGATATAGGCATTTAAAGGAATATTTGTCTAAGATTGATATAGCATAATTTTTTTCACCAACACTCATGTTTTGTTTTGGGCACATAATTTATCGAAATGTCGTGGGGGAGGGGGAAATGGAAGAAAAAGTTGAGAGCTTGGAAGGCATTTTTTTTACACCAACCCAATTTACAATTTTTTAACTCTATAAATTAATTTTGAGGGACCATAGTGGTGCATAAAGCCACAAAACCCGCTCAAAACTGCAAAAATGGTTAGTACCAAAGCCCATTTGATATAAAGTGACTCCCTTTAAAAATAATGATACTAAATATTTATGCTTATTAAACGTTTCTATAATTCATATAATTATCTTTTAACAGTTCTAAAAATGAAATAAAATGTAACTTCTCCATCCCCCTCCGACGATTTTCGATAAAGTGCAGGAGTCCATTGTTTTCAGGAATAATATGACTAAAAAGGGGCTTTTAAAATAGGGAAAACGAATAATTGAAAGTAAATTAACCATCTTTGATTATTGAGAATGTTCTGTATGTACGGTTCACATTTATTTTGTGTAGACCAGTACTCAAGTATGCTTTGCATACAATAGAATAAAAGTGAAACATGAGTATAGATTGTAATAAGAGATTACATTTCACTATATGCAGCTGTACTCATTATTTTAATTTGTAATTACTTAATTCGTTAAATATTACTATGTATATTATTTTTTTATATGTGAAATAGAGAAATGTACAGGAAAAAATTTGAAAATCCTGGAAAAATATGAAGAAAAAAAAAAACCAAAATGTACAAGAATTCTTTTAAGGAGAAGCGTTGGACACCCTGTTTTATTTTAATTTTCTTTTATTGAAAGGACATATGTAAAGATAAAACCATTTATATAAGAGATTATTAGGTTTCTAAAGCCTTAAAAAACAGATTTCAACCTTTTGCTTTTTTATATGTTTCCATCTCATTTTGTGTTAAATTGTTTTTAATAGATTTTTTTAATCACATGTTATGTCTTTCTGCAATGATTTTATGGATGGAATGTATCTATATAATCTTTATAAAGGTAAGTAATTAATGTTGAAAACGTGACGTTTAATTTTACTTTTTTAATTGAAATATACTGGGAATAAATGAACAAGTTGATATTTATGTATAGGTTTATGAAGCTAACTTAGAATTTGCTTGTTGAGAGTTATATGAACTTATATTGCAGCTGATTGAAAATATCTTACTGACAGTTTATATAAAGAAAAGAAAAAAACTGATTTTTTTGTGAACTATGAGGCATTTGTTTTTCTTTCTCGAATGTTTAATTTGGTGTTCCAAATCAATTTTGTTTGTATGATTTATATCAATATTTTTATCTGTCCAACAGGGCATGGTATTAGTTGAACATTATGGTTCATTTTTTATCCACAGTATTAACTCATGAGATAGAGAAGGAACCTCAAATTTAGGCTGTTAATATTTTTATTTTAGCTAAAAGACGCTGATAAAACAACATAAATAGCATGTGTTAATGATGTTGAAGATTTTAATAAAACTTTTAAATTTTCCTAATATGTCATTTTTATCGGTAAACTTAATTTTGTTTCATCCATGTAATTGATCATTTGACTATTTAGCCATCTTTAAACTTAATTTATTTAATTTTGAAAGATTGTTATCTCTAACTTTTGTTTTTTGTATGACAAGTGTAGATCTGTAGCATTCGGGGAATCCCTGAAAGCTATAGATAAGGCTGTGGACGGTTTTCAAATTATAGACTAATGAATCATGTTAATTATAAATGAGGCAAAGTTTGGAATGGTATTAATCCCAACCATCCATTGTTTCTTAATTATCGAACTTGTAAAATTAATTGGTATAGTAACAAATTATTATGTATTAATACAAGTCTGATCAAGATAAGTAGAGACCATCCACTCTTTTATTTTATTAATTTCGTATATTTGCTGATTTATAGTTTTTGTAACAGGTATCAGTGGAATAATAAGAAGAATAAAACTATATCTATCCATCACTTTGTAGTATTCACCTCATTGAATGTTAAAGACAAAGTTATTAAGAGACTTCATCAGTTATTGTTGAATTTGAAATAAAAAAATTAAATAATGATCTATGAAATTTTATTAATTGATTTACAATATGACATCTTAGCTTATCATTTATTTGATACAATTTAGCTTAACTTAATATACCAGCATATTTATTTAGATTTACATCAATGTTCTATATCAACTGACATTTGGTTTATTAATATTTATTAATTAAATTTTTCTATCTGGTTTCAGAGGACTCGACAACAAAATTACAGTTTATTCAATTAGTTTTGAAGAAGACGCTTCAAGTAAGAAGAAAAATGTCGGGACACACACCAGTTATACATCATGCTGCACGTTCCCTAATTCAGATCAGCAGGTTTTTATTAATATTATTTTCCCCTCCCCTATTTATTGGTTTATTTATAATGTATTGTTCTATTTTTAGATTTTAACTGGAAGTGGAGACTCAAGTTGTGCCTTATGGGATGTCGAATCGGGACAACTTCTACAAAATTTTCATGGCCATACTAGTGATGTTATGTCATTAGATTTAGCCCCATCTGAAGCAGGAAATACTTTTGTTTCTGGTGTAAGTTTACTGCTTACGAAATTCCCTTTGGTTTTTCATTTTTCAATGTTTGTTTACTGAATAAATGAATGATTGAATGAAAAATAATTTTATTCTGGGACTTAAGTCCCCTTGAAATAATAGTAGAGTTAAAAAAATATGTACATCAGTTTGATATTTAGATACAATACAGATATATACAAAAAATATGAAAGAAAATACAAATATACACAATAAATACTAAGAAAAATACAAATATATACAAAAAATACTGAGAGAAAAAATTAAATAAAATAAACAATAGCTCTTATAACTTTTGGCGAGCAATAGTTATAGTTACATAACCTAAAATTTCTTACAAGCTTTCGGAAGATTGAATGTGAATGTATAGTAGGTGGTGGAATATGAGTTATTTAAAAGGAATTTGTGGACGTGGTTTGGCATATGGAGATATTTAAGAAGTTCCAAAATGAATGCTGTAAGAAGGACTTGCCGAAAGAAGTGGTTTTATGGGAGGGGGTATATAGATCTAGAGGTTGAGATCTGGTATTAAGAGAGTGAATAGAAGAACGTAGAGTAAGGAGTTCTAGGATGCAGTTAGGATTTTTCGGTCTGAGGACTTGGAAAAGGAAAATACGAAGAAGGAACTGCCGCTGAGAAGCAGGATAGAACCACTTCAACTCAGTGTGCAAGCAGGAAACATGAGAACGCCTGGGAATACCATAGATAAATCTTATAAAGCAATTAATGAGTTTCTTCAGTCTCTCCTCCAGTCTCGTGGACAGCCCTCCATACACTTCGCAACGTCGAAGTGGAGGAAAACAAGGGATGTCACAAGCTGTCTGTTTTTTTAAAAAATAGAATCATGAAATCGTAGGAATTTTTTAAGGATAGTTAGGTATTTACGGGTAATCTGGGAAATATCGTTATTCCAAGAGAGGTTCTGATCAAAGAACACTCCGAGGTTTTTGACTGTCGGAAAGAAATGGATGGGACAGTGATTGAGGTAAAGTAGAGGACAGAAAGTAAGGGAACTAATGAGGAACCTGGAACAGATGAGGATAGAATTAGTTTTTTTTCTGCATTTAGCTTCAGTTCATTTTTTTTCTGCCCACCTGTGGGTAGAGTCAATATCCTCTTGCAGTTTTCGGATAACCTCAGGCATCTCGGAAGGCTGGAACGATAGGGAAATTTGGAAATCACCTGCATATAAGTGATAGTGGGAATGATGAATGGAGTCAGGAAGATCATTAAAATCATTAAGAGATTATAATTGGTTATATCTATTTATACTAAATCTTTGTTTTTTTTATTTCTAGTATTTATGGGTTTGGTTCTTACCTAGATTAATAGTTATTTATTTATGTAAATACTATATATAGAATCTTTGTTGTGTTATCCCTTATATATTTTTGTTGTGAAGTATATAGTTTTTTTTGTAATTTAAATTGAATATAAGAAAAGTTTTGTTTATTATTGTAAAAAGCCAAGTGGTAATTGTCTCAGAAATACATCTTATTGTATATAATTTAAATATTAAGCTATATTTCGTGATTTTCTATCGTATTTGTATACGCACAAGCCTTGCATTAATACTAAGTCTTACGGAATAAGGCAACCAAAATATTGCGATAAGGCTGCAGGGAGTCAGTCTAGAGTTAGCTTTTGTCAACATTGGATCGATGTACTGGGCATTGGATCCTACCCCACCTCACCATTTGCTGGAGCTCTGCGTTCAATTTCACCGGCCTAGCGCCATTTTTTCCACAATAGCTGAGGGACTTCATCGGTCATCGATCAAGATCGATATGCAATCGATCCTTCCCCACCATAGACTGCTTGACAACACCGGTATATATCTGACATAACCACGTTGGGGGTAGATTTATTTACTTTTCGCTTGGATTGTTTTTTCTCTTCGTAATATTTATCGAGCTCTTCATTGGCGTTACTTACCGAAAGACATGAAACATTAATTTAATTTTTTCCCTCTAATTTTTTTTTTACTTTTATTTATTTTACGAAGCCTAAAATGGTCGTTTTAAAAAAAATATTTGAATGACAGTTGTATAAATGTAAAGATACAAACGTAAATAATCGTTATATTTGATATAATGCTGTAGGACGCCGATTCAACCTAGTTTCTGTGAGGATTGTGATGGCATGCCCGGATTCTGTTTGGCGCACTTCAACCAGTATCACAAGCAGTTCGCTATTTAATACTTCACTTTCATTTTGCTTTTTCTTAAAATAGATTGCAATGTAATAGTGAATACTCAAATATCTATATTTTTCTTGCATTGCCACAATATGGTATTTATTATGTAACATCGACTTTTTATATTCTATTTTTATCTTTCTCGCCCATGAGTCCTACTTATTGGCCAACATCCCTCAAAAAACGTCCCGATATCCTGGATATATTTATCACCTCCCAGATTTCCTCCTCCCAAACTATAATCAAATCCCTGGATGACCTTTCTTCAGACCATAGTCCGGTTCTGCTTTCATTACATTCTGACTTTGCTCCTAAACCATCACCTCCCAAACTGATCACTGGACGAGTAAACTGGGACAAATTTCGTGATGATTTGGAAAACAAACTTGACCTCAAAATTCCGCTAAAGACAAAAGAAGACATTAATGGTGCCATAGAAAAACTGACATCAACAATAACAGACAGTATAAATAATAATACCTTTATCAATAACATTAACAAACCACAAAATACTAACTTGCCACAGCATATTCGCATCTTATTAAAGGAAAAACGCAGAGCAAGATCGAAGTGGCATCGAACTAGATACCCGACAGATAAAGCGCATTACACCCAACTGACTAACAAACTGAAATCAGAAATAAGAAAATACAAAATTCAAAATTTACTAAATTTTACTGAAAAACTTACACCTACCGATAAATCACTATGGACGACCACTAAAAGGCTCCTGAAATTTAAGGACTGCAACCATCCACTACTCACTGAAGCCCAAACCTGGTCCAAATACGACGAAGAAAAATCCCAAATATTTGCCCACCACCTCTTTAAAACCTTTAATCCACATCCCGATATTCTTAACCCAAATCACCTTGAATGTATTGAAGCAGAACTGGATATCCCACTCCAAATGACTCCTCCTCCTAAAGCCTTTCATCCTTCAGAAATATCCAACATCATTCACAGGTTACCTTCCCGCAAAGCTCCTGGACACGACCTAATTACATCCCAGATCCTAAAACTACTTCCTCGGAAGGCCATTCTATTCCTTACATATATATATAATGCTGTACTCCGATCAACATATTTTCCCGACCCTTGGAAACTATCCATTATCAAAATGATACATAAACCCAAAAAGCCACCAGAATACCCATCCTCTTACCGTCCTATCTCTCTTTTACCCATCATGGGAAAAGTCCTAGAAAAACTCATCCTAAAACGCCTGTACCCAATCCTAGATTCTAATCACATAATCCCAGATCACCAGTTTGGATTCCGCAGATCCCATTCCACTATCCAGCAATGCCATCGTGTGGTGGATGTTGTCTCCTCTGCATTAGAGCGCGGAATGTACTGCACGGGAGTCTTTCTCGATATAGAACAGGCTTTTGATCGAGTCTGGCACCCGGGATTACTTTACAAACTCCGTAAATTCCTACATCCTACATACTTCCTCATTATCCGTTCCTATCTAACTGATAGATACTCAAAAGTCAATCACAATAATGCTTATTCATCCCTCTTTTCCCAGTCCGCTGATGTTCCTCAAGGTAGTATCCTTGTTCCTCTCCTTTACACAGTTTATACAGCTGACATCCCAACCCATCCTAACACTGTTATTACCACGTATGCCGATGATACATGTGTCCTATCCGTTAATAATGACCCAACCATTGCATCCCAAACTCTTCAATCGCACATCACAAGCCTTGAAGAATGGTGTAAAAACTGGAGGATTAAAATAAATTCTAATAAATCCCATCAAATCACCTTTACCCTTCGACGTAAACCTATGACCTCATGTCCCACAGTATCCTTTAATAATACCCCACTTATCCCTGTTGAACAAATCCGATACCTTGGACTTCACTTGGACAAACGTCTAACTTGGAATCCTCATACCAGACTGAAACGAGAATAATACACCCACTGAGCTACCCCACTCCCTTTATTCAAAAAAGAAACACTGATTTATGTAAATAAATAGTGAAATAGACACTATGCTTCCAGCATCCTCAGGCCTCCCAATCCAAACTTCATACTTCCAATCCTCAATCTCATCCTCCGCGTCAGCAAATTCCCCCTCATCATCTACCCCTACGAATAAAATTGACAAGAAACCGCTCGACGTTTCCGACTACTCCAACACTTACTAGACAAACGCTCTAAGCTTCCAGTAAATTACAAAAGACTTATATACATGACTACAATAAGACCTATTTGGACTTACGGAGTTGAGCTTTGGGGCTCCACTAAGCCATCAAATTCCTCTCGTATCCAATCCTTACAATCCAAAATCCTTCGGAAAATCCTCAATGCTCCTTACTTTGTCACCAATAAAATAATCCATAATGACCTTAATGTTCCTTATGTTTCCGATTTGGCCCAATCCAGATACCAATCTTTCCATAATAAACTTCAGAACCATCCGAATCCTCTCGTCTCTAACCTTGCTTCCTCTTCTATTCCTGATAACCCTCCGAGGCGTCTGAAAAGAAGATGGCCTCGAGATCTCTTATTGTAAATACATTTTGTTTTTAGAGTGCTACCAATGGGTAGTTTCTCAACAAGTCATTTCATGTTTTTATTTTCTGTTATCAAATTTACTTCATGTATTTAATTTTTTAATACAGTTGTAAATATCATGTATAAATAAATAATAATAATAATAAATTTTTATCTTGACATTGAAAAAGTATTACACAAATAATGTATAAATTATACCATGAAAATTATAATTATATGTAATAAATACACATTTTCTTATTTCATTTTCAATATTTAAGATTTATATCACTAA